CCACCCCGGGCCCCAGCTCTGCCCCCACTGACGACCGGGACTCCCCAGAGCCCCGGCTCTGTCCCCAGGATCCGGCTCCGCCCGCACCCGCCACCGGCACTGGGACCGCCCTCCCTCCTCGGGACCCGGCTCTGTCCCCAAGCCTGGGCCCTGCCCCCACGGAGGACTGGGAACCCCCTGAGACCCGGCTCTGCCCCTGGGCCGTGATCCGGCTCCACTGGGGACCAGAACCCCCCAGGACTCCGTGTTTGCCCCTGGGACGCGGCTCTGCCTGCACCTGGCACCGGGACCCCCCTGCAACCTGGGCCTGCCCGCACGCAGCACTGGTGCCAGGGCCTCGCAGGACCCCGGCTCTGCCTCCATCAAGTACCCGCTACTGAGATCCCCCCAGCACCCAGGGTCTGTCCTGGCGAGTTCCTGGCACAGAGACCTCCACCAGCAGGACCCCTGGCTCTGACCCACACTGAGTGCCTGGGAATCCCTCGCGGTGGGTACCCAGGGCAGCAGGATCTGTCCCATCTCATTTCCTTCCTCTTTGCTGAGGCCTCCATGGGCTACCCTAATGTATCCGGTCCCCAGGATCCTGCAGTCACTCCCAGGCCAGCCCCCTTCTCTGCCCTCGGCCCTGGCGGGGGTCTGGGCCTGCTCTGTGCAGCACGTGGCACATCCAATGGGCTCAGGGGGACCCCCCGAGCTGGGGCTGCCTTCACCCCACTCCAGGCAGGGCGGCTGTTCTGCTCCTTCCCGCTGACGACCAGGGCAAGAAATTCACGCCTGGCACCCGCGCGGGGCGCGGCCTCCACACAACCCCCTTATTAGAGATCAGAGGATCCTCCAGGCAGCCGCCCGGAGCACAGACCGGGCCTTGTCACCACCCGGCCCTGCCGCTCCCTTCCTGCCCCTGACAAACACCCTGGGGGCAGCAGGGACCGCAGCCGGGTGGGAGCAGCCCAGGCCTCCCCATGGCGCGTGGGGAGGAGGACATACTGGGGCGGGAGTGGGCACGGGAATGTCGGGAGCCCCAATCCCCCCTGCCACCAAGAGGGAGGGCACCGGAGTCCCAATCCCCCCTGGCACCACGAGGGAGGCAGGTTATTTTTTCCCAGGTTTTTATTATAAAAACTCTTTTTTTTCCTTTCCTTTTTTTTCTGCATTCTCACGTCTCCGCTCATTAAAATCACATTCACAGACGAGCCACCAGCCCCAACCTGGTGCCTCCGTCAGCCCCCCTGGCGCAGCCCAACTGGAGACTAATATTTACAGACACTGCCAGGGAGCTGGGAAGGGGTGGCTTGGGGAGGTGGCATCCTGCCCGCGCGCGCCAGGCCCCGGGACAGGGCTGGGGCCACAGGCAGCAGGCACGAGGGGCCCGTTGGCAGGGGGCTCCCCGCTGCTCTCTCCTCCTTGTGCACCGCCTGCCCTGCAGCTGGGCACCACCACGCTGCTGGCTCGGGGATGCTGGTGCTGCCTCCCTTACTTGGGATATGGTCACACAGTGGGGTGGCAGCAGGGGCACAGAGTGGGCAGGGCTGGCAGAGGCGGGAGGCGCAGGGGACCCATGGCACAATATTTACAGGGGGGTCCCCTGGGCACGGACACACACACACACACACACACACACACACACACACACACACACACGCACAGACTCACGCGTGCAGAGGACACGGCACCCACAAGGCGGGCACAGCCAGGCCGGGGCAATGCCCGCTCCTGAGGAGGTGGGCAAAGGTGAAACGAGCTGGCCAGGACGCTGTCGGGCCAGAGCTGGGCATCCACCTGGCCAGTTTGGCACACGCAGTTGTGGTGAAGTGGGCATGGGGCCGAGAGGACAGTGGCACAGAGAGTGGCGGGCATGGGGGCTACCTTCATCTTAGCCGGAGAGTTCACAGGGAAGATGTGCCAAGCGGAGCCGCGTGCCCAGCATTGGTGCCCACGTCCCTTGGGCTGCAGGCTGGGCTGAGACGG